TTTATTCATTGATTAAAACTAAATATAAGCATCCACAAACCACGTAAAGTTAAATATAAAAATCAAATAATTAAATAATATATTTACAAATAAAAAAATAAACTCATAATTTCAAGATATTATTTGACATACAATACTATTTTTCATTAGCTAGATTATAATTATAAACCCAAACTCTCAAATTAACTTAAAAAATATTTAGACATGAAGTATTTAAAAATTTAATTTTGATTAAAAATTACTTACAATTGAAGTTTAGATGAATTGTTTTGAAAGAATGAAAAATATAACTAAAAATAGAGAAAAAAAAGCATCACTACAAGTTTCAAGAGTAAGACTTGAATTTTTGGAGAAGGAAAGTAATTTAGGTTCTAACTTTTTTAATAAATCTTAAATTATCAAAAGTGTTATGAACATTTTTGTGAATATCCATTTCTGTTATCTATATCTAGATTTGATGTAAATCAGATTAGATTAGGATATAATCCATCTAATCTCTAAGTGTTATCTTCATCTTGTAAAAGGGTTATTTGTCTATAAATAAGCCCCCTTAGTAGGGGTGAGCAAATATAAACCGAACTGAACAATCGAACCAAACCTAAATAAGTTCAGTTTTTTCGGTTAGGTTAGTTCGGTTATTCGGTTATTTCGATTAGAATAATTTAGTTAGTAAAATTATTTCGGTTCGGTTTCAGTTAGGAAAAATTCTAACCGAACTAACCGAACCTAAATAAGGGTGTTTAGACGTTTTACATGAAAAAAAAATCTTAAACCTAAATGCCTAATTTCATCTCTTTGGCTCCTCTTTGGCTCTTTCTGTCGTCTCGTCTTCAGTTTCCATACTTTGCCGTCTCATCTTCAATCTCCATACTCTCCACTCTTTAGACTCTCCAATCTCCACCCTCTTCTCTTCCCCTTCTCTCATCCATCCCATCTCCACTCTCCATACTCTCCTTTAGTGTCTGCCATCTTCTCTTCCCCTTTTCTCATCTTTAGCAAGTTGTTGTCTTGTCATCCTTCACCTTTCGTCCCTTCCCACATCAAGTCAGTTTTTATGGGTTTTTTGTTCCTCTTCTCTTCTTTTTGTACTATGTTCTTTTAGCTTGAAATTTTGTAGATCTAGTTAATGAATTTTTTTATGTTGGTTTTTCACTTTTTGTTGCTTGACTTTTTTTGGGTGGTGGTTTGTTGTTGCTACTATTATTTTTGTGTAAATTTGGCTCATTTTTTTGGGTTTGTTGCTGCTTGTTGAAGGGTAGTTTGGTAGGTAATGAATGATGATTCTTGCTGCATCATGAATATACTTTAAAAATTATTTCTTTAGTATTAGTATTAAAATATACTTTAAAACTTATTTATTAAATCGATATAATTATTTCATTATAAGCAACTTTGTCTTATGAAAAATATTTTCTAGTAAATTTTAACAATACTGCAAAAGCTATCCTTTTTGCATCATAAAAGGTATTATGTTGACTTAAAAAATTGTTACAAATACATTTGTAATACTAGTATTTGCAGCATTTTGCAACACTTTATATATTGCTATATAATCACTTTTCGCTAAAAGTTTTATGTTGTATTAGATAATTGTAAACTATACTTTTTAGGAAAAAATTGCACAAAATATTCATGTAGGTATTATATATATCATAGAATATACCTAATGATTTATACAATTTCTTTTTAGTAAAGAATTTCATCAAATTCTTTTTGATGGTCCATATATACAATTTATCAATTCAATTTCCTAACTAATGATTTGGATATATTGGGTTATTATTATCAAATCAATTCCCCAACTATCTGAAGTCATAATGTTATTAGCAAACTTTGCTAAATCAATAATGTGGCATACATGAGGAAGAGGCAATCTTTTTTGCGGACAATTAATTTTGATTCATACATGGGGAAGTCATTTTTTTTTATTTTATTTTCATAATTGAAATGATTAAGTCTTTTCAATTTTGAGACCATATTGATTTTCAGTCTTTGATATTTCAAAAGAGATAATGACTAGTAGATGGATAAAGAGGAAGTGGGAGAATAGAGGAAAAGATGTCATTAATTATATTTGCTTATGTTTTTTTATATGTGCTATTAGTGATAGATTCTTTAATAGATTTTTCATTCTTAAATAATATATTTGTTAATTAATTAATTCTTTTTGAGTGATAGATTAAAGATTTCAATGGCTAGTGAAAGCAAGAATCCAGCTGCTGTTCCTAGTGATGCTAATACGCAACCTATGCCTATTGGCATGCCATCATCGTCACCAACGCCAATTATACAACAAACCATAATCTCCACCAATGAAAGTGATGCTGTCGATTCTAAGAAACGAAAAGCACTTTCACCGAGGTCTGAAGTTCGGAAACACTTCACCAAATTCGTCAATGATCAAGGTGAACAAAAAGCTAAATGTAATTATTGTGATAAGGAACTTTCTGCTAATAATAAATATAATGGCACAACTTCATTAAAGAATCACATGAATTCTTGCAAAAAGTTTCCTAGTTCTACTAATGATTCTACTCAAAGTGAGTTAGCTTTTCAATCTGGTGATGGGTAAATAGAAACTTGAAAATTTAGTCAAGAAGCCATTCGAAAGTCTCTAGCTAAGATGATCATAGGAGATAACTTACCTTTTAGATTTGTAGAAGGGGAAGAATTTAAGGAATTTGTGTCAACTTCGTGTCCTAGATTTATTGTGCCATCACAATGGATTGTTGCTAGAGATTACTATAATTTTTTTGTTGATGGAAGAACCATTTCAAGCATATATTGAGAACATCTTCTTTTAAAGTTTCTCTGACCACAGACACATGGATATCAATTCAAAGAGAAAATTATATGTGTCTTATGGCTCACTTTATAGATAATGATTGAAAATTGCACAAAAGAATTTTAAACTTTTGTCTCATTTATAGTCACAAAAGTAAGGCCATTGGGAAAATGATTGATAAATGTTTGCGTGATTGGGAGATTAGTAAGCTCAATTTTGATGTTCTCATTTGATGAAAACTCAATAGTCATAGGTATTCTACTCTTTCCTTACTAGCTCGTGATGTATTAGTAATTCCTCCATCAACAGTTTCTTCGGAATAAGCTTTTAGCACTAGTGGTCATGTGCTTGATGCATATGGGAGTTCTTTAATGCCTAAGATGGTGCAAGCCCTTATTTGTGCTCAAGATTGACTATGTGGACCTTCTTATTATCTTCATGGCACTGAGAATGATTTGGCAGAGCTTGAGAAAGTTAATGAAGGTTAGTATTTTATTTATATCATTATTTCATTTTTGTTGTTTTAATTGTTAATATGTTATTGTTTTATTTCTAACTTTTTTGTTTATATATTTTAGAGTTGTCAAAGATTGTAGTGGACAATGTACTTGATAATCTTTAAGATAATCAAGTAACGTACTAATGTTATCTATTACCTGTTTGAATTTATAAAATATTTAACATGTTCTAATTTTTTTTTAATCTATTTGAAACTAACTGTTTTTTTTATTTTTTTGAACTTTTAAGGGTACAGCCTATATTTATACTAAGTTGCTTATAGCATCAAGAGGCATTTGGGGAAGAAGCAATCTTTAGAGGCATTTGGAAATGATTTATTGTTATTTGTTGAAGACTATTGGTTGTTGTTTTTATTTATTGTTAAATACTGTTAATGATTTATTGTTATTTGCTCCACATTTTACTATTAGAAACCTAAAAGTGTCTATTTGGCATTAACTGGTTGTATATTTTGTCATAACACTCTTGTCAACGTCAGCATAAATTGTGTTTGATTGTAATTGTCTAATTTTTTTCCTTAATTATTGTTTACAATGTGTTGGGTTGCTTAGGAATGGATTGTATATAATTACTTTTATAAATACATTCCATATTAATTTGAAACACTAAATAATAAACAATGAAATTAATTTAACTCAAATTTATTACGAGCTCAAGTCAATTTTTATTAATTGGGTTTGACTCTTTTTTTTTTTTGCAAAATAACTTTTATTAGAATTAGAGTTTATGCCAACTAAAGTCTTTATACAAATACTTCTTTTAGCATATTATAACTGGTCCGTGTTTGATCATAATCATACAATTATAAATAACTCCACTTTAATTTATTAATAATTTTTCAATCTTAAGTTGAGCTTAAAAAAACAAAAAGAATTAAGTTCCTACCCTCTACCCCAAAGGAGCTCGAATTCAATAAAAAGAAACTCAGCACTACGCCTAAGCCTCTATCACTCCCCTATACTATTTTCCTCCAATCATTAAAAGTTATTTTCATTCATTACTTTTCATTGTATCTATTAGACATTTAGACCAACATTTGCATGTATGTGATCTTGTGATTAAAAATTTTATTGTAAAGCAATTGAAAGAAAAGTATTTATTTTATTTATTATAATTTTTTAGGTTCATTTTTAATATTTTGTAATATTGATTTATTTAAAAAAATATAACATAAATAAATATATACAAACAAAAAAAATTATTAAGTTCGGTTTTTGGAAATTGAATCAAATTGACCGAATTAGTTCGGTTAGTTATATAATTCGGTTCGATTTTGGTTTTTATTAAATAAGAGTTCGGTTAGTTCGGTTATTAGATATCTAATAACCGAACTAACCAAACTAACCGTTTACACACCCTTACGGCCCTCAGTTCATTTGTATACATACTTCAATAAGATTTCTTTTCTTCCCTTAAATACTTTCTTTCTCTCTAAATACTTTCTCTTATATTTCTCTTATAGTTATTCTTTTAGATTTATTTCATAACAAAAATTTTTTTTATCTTTTCATTTAATATTTAAATATTAATATATAAATTACTTTTTAATAAATTTATTTTTAACTCCAAATCTTTGACCACACCCTTTATAAAATTGTAAAAAAATTAGTGAACTCATTAGCATTATTGACTACATAAAACGTTAACTTAAATAGTATAACAAGTAAAAATTCAGTAAATAAGTGGTATGATTTGAGGTCGGATAATGAAATCTTTGCCGCAACACCAACAGCTAGTCTTGGATTTGCAAGCAGGCCAATGTCCCTCAACACCATAACAAACCTCAACCGATTATCCATGCAGCCAAGACCTCTTGGACAACCTCAAACACTATCTCAACAAATCCAAACCATAGTTGATCAAATAAAAAAATGTTCCAACTTATACCAACTGGAAACAATATATGCCACCATGATCAAAACAAATGCAAACCAAGACTGCTTCTTAACGAACCAATTCGTCACTGCATGCGCCACTTTTTGCCGTATGGATTATGCAATTTTAGCCTTTACCCAAATGCAAAAACCCAATGTTTTTGTTTATAATGCATTAATTAAGGGCCTTGTTCATTGTCATAACCCGTTCCAAGCTTTAGATTATCACAAACATATGCTGAGAGCTGGAGTTTGGCCCTCAAGTTTCACGTTTTCTTCGTTAGTTAAGGCTTGTGGTTTGGCTTCTGAATTGGGGTTTGGAGAAAGTGTCCATGGCCAAGTTTGGAAACATGGTTTTGAGTTACATGTCTTTGTTCAAACTGCTTTGGTTGATTTTTATGCGAATGTTGGAAAATTTGTTGAATCCAAAAGGGTGTTTGACGAAATGCCTGGTAGAGATGTATTTGCATGGACTACAATGGTTTCGGGTTTTTTAAAGGCCGGGGATTTGGTTTCTTCGAGGAGACTGTTTGATAAGATGCCTGAAAGGAATACCGCCACGTGGAATGCTATGATTAATGGGTATGCAAGAGTAGGGGATGTGGAGTCAGCTGAGTTATTTTTTAATCAAATGCCTGTAAAGGATATCATTTCTTGGACTACTATGATCAACTGTTATTCCAAGAACAAGCAATTCAGAGAAGCATTAGCTGTTTTTGAGGAAATGAGGAGGAATAAGGTTAGTCCAGACGAAGTAACCATGGCAAGTGTTATTTCAGCTTGTGCCCATCTCGGAGCGCTTAATATGGGAAAAGAAATACATCAATATGTGATGCAAAATGGATTTTGTCTTGATGTTTATATAGGGTCTGCGTTGATTGATATGTATGCTAAATGTGGAAGTTTAGAGAGGTCACTTTTGGTGTTCTTTAAATTAAGAGAGAAAAATCTCTTTTGTTGGAATTCAGTAATTGAAGGGCTTGCTGTTCATGGTTGTGCACAGGAAGCACTGGCAATGTTTGACAGTATGGAGAGGCATCATGTCAAACCAAATGGGGTTACTTTTGTTAGTGTTCTTAGTGCCTGCACTCATGCAGGACTTGTCGAAGTAGGCCGTCAGAGGTTTTTAAGCATGACTCGTGATTATTCTATCCCCCCTGGAGTTGAACATTATGGGTGTATGGTTGATCTATTAAGCAAAGCTGGGTTGCTTGAAGATGCACTATTCTTGATAAGAAGCATGAAGTTGGAACCAAATCCTGTTATTTGGGGTGCATTATTAGGTGGGTGTAAGCTTCATAGGAATTTGGAGATTGCTCAGTTTGCTGTGAATGAACTGATGGTTTTGGATCCACATGATAGTGGCTATTACACCCTTTTACTTAACATGTATGCTGAAGTCAATCGATGGGCCCAGGTTACGAAGATCAGGCAGATGATGAGAGAATTAGGTGTTAAAAAGGGATGTCCTGGATCCAGTTGGATTCACATGGAGAGCAAAATTCATCAGTTTGCAGCATCTGATAAATCCCACCTGGCTTCAGATGAGATCTACTCGATTCTAGCCGAATTAGATTTACAGCTGAAGCTAGCTGGCTATGTTCCTGATGAACTGGGACCTATATATTAGAAGTTTAATCTTCATAAGAAGAAATGACATCAAAAACAAACTGCAGATTGTGAAAGTTCACATGCCATAATCATATGGTTCATGCTTTGCAAAGAAAGGATCTAAATAGGGCTCTAGTGAAGCAGAGTCAAGCGAGCCAGAATAAGGTGTAGTTGGAAAGGTTTGTGTACTGGCGAACTCTGGAAAAGAGGTAATCAGACTATCCATTTTTGGTTGACTGTTGATAACATATGACTGGTGGAATAACTGAGTGCGGTTGAATTTTATTTATTTAATACAATTGATGCTGGGATTTACACATTCCTTTTTCTCCCATAAGCAGTTTCTTGTAGAGAGTAGGAAATGGGATGGAAGGTCAGATTTGGTGCTTTGAATACAATTAAAAACAGAGACCAGAAGATAATGAGCTGATAAATGAGTAAAATGCAGGTCATGCAAATTAAGTCCTCTGCTGGAAGTTAAACCAAAAGATGATTCTGCTGTTCTGAGTGTGGTCGCTGGGTTAATATTCTGAAAAGATGGCTGTATAGTTGGATGCTTCACAGAGCTTGGATAAACTGTCTGCTGGTCATTTTCAAACACCAGACATGAAGAATTGTGGCAGAATTCCTATTTGAGAAACACATAATGAGACTTTGACGGTTTACATGCTTGAAGTAGATCAGACATGAATCCTAGTATTGTTTCCGCAATTTCATCCGCCTTGCACCTCTGTGTTTGAAAGCATTGCGTTCTTGCTTAGCTGCTTTGCAAAGTTGCAATTTCAAAAGTCAAACTATCTTGGCTTAGCTTGTTCATTTTTTTTAAAACTCATAATTCAACTTTAATCAAGTATCATTGAACTTTCAAGATTTTAATAAAATATCATAAGGCCATGACTGTATCTTCCTCATCTGGTAAATATTCTTCCCTTGTTATTATGGAAGGCTTTGTTTGTGCAAATCTGACGGCTGTAAGTTGCACAATATCATCATGTTACAGGGCAACCTTTTTCTTTTATTTGTACAAAATAAAAGAAACACCCTTATGTATCACACATTGCATCGTACCTTGTGCATCACACAAATAAACGTGGGTAGCTACCATTGCACCACGCAAGAAGGCAATAGAAAAAACGTTTGGAAATTCTACAAGGGAGTGCCTACCTCCTTGAAATGAGGGATGCACAAGGAAAAAACGTAGTGCTTACAAAAAGATGTAATGTCTTTGAAGCAAATGGTAAATAGTGTTTGATAAAGATTGTAACATGGGCTGCGATTATCAACCCCGGCGGTCTACTCCTCTCCAATAATTCTCTTGTAAATTCTTGATCAATCAGTCAATCAAATGGAAACCATCCCTGCAGTGAATCTTCATCCATGCACCAGAGAACCGACCGAAATCAACAACGGATGGCAGCAGTGAAAGTCGTCTCGGAGTCCCAATAATCGATTTTGAAGGGTTAGAAAATGGGAAGCGAATGGAGATTGTGAAGGAGATACGTGAAGCAGCATCAACATGGGGCCTCTTCCAAATGGTCGACCATGGAGTTCCACTTGCCACAATGAATAAATAGTTGGATCGCGTGCGTCAGTTTCACTGGCAACCCTCGGAGGTGAAAGCGGAATGGTACTCGGATCATGGAACAAGAAAAGTCAGGGCCTATAGCAATGGATGTTTCACTGCATCGAGGGCGGCATATTGCAAGGACACTTTTAATCTTTCTTGAAGCACGACAACTCGAGAAAGAACCAAGTTCCTCAAGCTTGCAGGGAAACTCTCCAGTTAAAACTTAAAAGATATACTAGTATTAATCATGATTAATATTACTAGGACGATTGTTTTTAATTTCTTTGCTTCCAGAGAGACTGTTATTGAGTACACCAACTGTGTGATGCGATGCGACTTAAGGGTACAGTTGCATCTTTCTTCTTTCCAAGTACTGCTAACCAGGCGAAACCAAATGGACCAATGAAGGAGCTCCTGTCTGAGAAAGATCCACCCAAATACAGGGTAACTAGTGTTGAAGAATATGTAGCTTATCACAAGTCAAAAGGGCCAACGGCATCAACATCCCTTTCCTCATTTCAAGCTCTCACCATAACTCTTGTCAAGGGAAGGAAAGCTATCGGTTTCCTATTCTGTCACTGTTTTGCTTAAATAAGAGGGTTCCGGCTTATAAATGCTTGGAAACCATCTCTGGCTCGTAACACTTTTAAGTGACATTTGACTATAATCTTGTTTCGCTAAATTTCCAATATGGCAATACCTGATTTCCAAATCCTGGAACCAGAATTTAATAATTTCTTTTACCCTGCCTGTTACAAGTTTAGGAATCATGAAAAAGAACATTAACTCCTCTTGCCCATCATCCTCAACATGATTTCAGAGCAAACATGCATCATCAGGAGCATGTTCATCTCGATTTCCAAAGCAACCTATTGAATAATGAGCTTCTTACAAGGGATTAGAAAGAAAATGCAGAAGGGAACAAAAATGGGTGGTGATTACATAGACTAATACATTAGAGTTAAAGATACCATCCATTATTAATAACTTCTCAATCAAATGCAAAGAAACCAGGGCTAGATGGAAGTAATTGAGGAAATGAAAAACACAAAACAGACAAGGGCATAGTGAAGAAGTATCTGAGGTAAGTGAGAAACACTGTACTGTACACCTAAGGTCAGGCTAGTTTCACGAACACACAACTGAGAGAAACCCATCATATAGAAACAAATGATGAATCCAACACCCAGATATAACTTGCAATACATGCTATCCTCCCCTTGAGAAAAACAAAAACCATATTGCTTTTTTGAAGAGAATGATCAGATAGAGCTAATACTAAGATGCCATCATTACGGCTATCAAACCAATAGGGAAACAATATCACAATCGTCATTTCATCCTCCCAAAACCATAAGTCCTTCTCAAACGTATATCAGTGAAATGGATAACAAAGTTTTGTTGGGAGATCCACAAAGCAAGCAGAAAAACCTTACAACCCGAGAGTAAAATAGCAACGTTTCAAAACTGTCAAGAACACCAGTGCATATCAAATGCTTGCATACCAATAAAAAAAAGGGTGAAACCAAAATTTTGCAAAGGTGAAGAGAATGATCAGATAGAGCTAATACACTGCAGTTGCCATCATCACGGCAATCAAACCAATAGGGAAACAATTCAGTTCATCATCTCATTCTCCAAACACCTTAAAAACACACCAAATATGCAGTGTTAAACCAGAAAACAATTACCAGAGCTAAAAACATAAACAAAAAAAAACAACCCAAGTTAAACTACGACCAGAACGGCTTGTTGCGACTACTTCAGTCTTGGGCATAAAACCCTAGCAACAACGAAGAATTTATAGCAAGTGCGTGGAAATAAGACCATGAGAAAATCTGGCGGACTTAGATTACGGCCCAAAAGCATCAAAAGATTACGGCCCAAAACCCACTAATGGAATGACCGTAATACCCTCTTCGGAACAACCTTCGCCTTGGCTCTGCTAGAGTTTTCGCCGCCATGGAGCATGGGCCAAGCGCCACGTGTCAGGTTCTTTAAGAACCACCGTTTATATCTGCTACCTCTACCTTTTCTGTTTTCTTATGTCGTGGGTAATGGCTAACCAATTTGCCAAACGCTTCTTACGCAATCTCTGTAAGTATTATGCTTCAGCTATTTTTTTAGTCCACCTCTTTATATTTTTGAAAACTTAAATTTCACCCATTGTCATTTCTAATGCAATTGCTCTGTGGGTTTTTGACTGAAAACCAAACTGTTAGTAAAAATCTTAACTTTTGTGCAGTTTTGATAGCAACAGAGTAAGAATTCTTGAAGCTTTACGAGGAAACATTCAATCTTTCTTGTTTTGTTTTTTTTTTAATATTGGGTTTTTTTTTTGGTGGCTCGGGTGCAGACTATACCAACATTTTGATTAAAAGACAGAAACTTTATGGTAGATTTGTGTACGGTATTCTTAACCGGTGTCAGTCACAATGGTCAAAAGCAGACGGAATAAAAGAACTAAACAAAGAGAAAGAGGCAAAAGATGCGGCTCAAGTTTCTTTGAAGCCTGAAGTTAATGAGAAAGCAGGTTATGATACCAGATTATTCAAATATAGTTCCGGTGATGAAGATTATATTGGTGATACCAAGTGGAAATTAGAGCTTGCTTGGCTCACAAAGGCTCTTGAGCCAGCTCTTCAATTGTGTAGGTGGGCTCTGCCAATAGGTCTGTTTTATGTTGATTCATGTCCCATAATCTTGTTAGCTAAATTGATTACCGCATTTTCTGATTGGAAACTGGAGATCATGAATATAAGCATTTAATAACTAGTTATAAAGTTTCGTCGCATTTTGAATAGCCATTTGTCACTCTAGTCTTTTCCAATCTGGCTTTGTGGTTTAGAGGGTCGATTTAATTTAATTCGAATATTGCAGGAAATGATGTAGGAGATAAAGCCCCACCTAGCACTCGATCTGTTTCAGAAATCATATCAAGCATTCAGCGTAGTAAAATTGGAATTGAAGGTTGGAGCTTGAGTGATCTTACCATAGGCCTATATCTTATTTACCTTCAGCAGGCGTCTTTGAATCCATTTGAGGATGTTAATGGTGTAAAGATCACATCGGATTCAATTGTAATTGCTGAACCCTTGTATTAAGTGCCTCTGCAAAGAGTTTTTTATTTTTCAGATAGGTATGACAAAGAACCTTATTAAGATGGTTTTGTGATGTAGGTCCAAGATCTGATATACCATATTGAATTAGCAAAAGGATGTTATAAGGATAATGCTGCCATCCTTGCAAGGACCAGCATGCTTAGAGAATGCAATGTTTTGAAATTTGTAAAGAACTCCAGTGTAATGAGGCCTGGATATTATATAGGAATTGATTCCCGGAAGAAACTTGTAATATTTGGAATCCGTGGAACTCATACTGTTTATGACCTTATAACTGATATTGTTTCTTCAAGTGATGGAGAGGTCACATTTGAAGGCTATTCAACTCACTTTGGCACAGCTGAAGCTGCTCGTTGGTTTCTTCACCATGAAATAGGAACGATAAGAAAGTGCTTGGAGAAATATGAGGTGGCTAAATTTTATTGTGTCTCTTTTGCGATATTTTGATTCTGTTTTAGGCTTTTCTGAATACCCCTGCCCCCGCCCTCTTGATGCCTGCCCTGCTCCTCCCCTTCTACTGTACTTCTAATTTAAACCCAAAGTTTTGTTTTCATAGTTGTAGTGAGCCTAATTCATTTACAGGGATTTAGGTTAAGGCTGGTGGGGCATTCTCTTGGAGCTGCAACAGCTTCTTTACTAGCAATAATGCTACGTAAAAAGTCACAAAAGGAGCTGGGGTTTAGCCCTGACATTGTCTCTGCTGTTGGATATGCAACTCCTCCTTGTGTTTCCAAAGAACTTGCTGAAAATTGCTCTGATTTCGTGACAACTATTGTAATGCAGGTAAGCCCAATTCATCTACTTGTACATTGTAGAAGCTTCTTGTATTGAAAAATTTTCTTCTATCAAATTGGAGTATCCCAGTTTAGTAGTTTTCCTTGTTGGATATCTTTTGACTTCATTTTCTCAATGATTTATGTTTTTCCTTGCATGCAGGATGACATTGTCCCTAGACTGAGTACATCATCTCTAGCAAGGCTGAGGAATGAAATTCTTCAAACAGACTGGTAAGCATGCAAATGTTGTCTGATTAACATTTGTATTTTTCTCCTGATGTTTAATTTATGAGACTTGAAAAACAAAAGAACCTCATGAAAGTAGATGCTTACTAAGAGGATAAAAGCATTGTGAGTAGCAGAAATCCTACAAACCCTATTTATCATTGATGTCAGGGGATCATTTTCATAACAAAACAGCTTGCATTTAAATTTCGAACAGCTTGAATATTAGCTAACTTTTAACTCGCTTATTTAGGATTTAAAGTTTTTTTGTCATTTTGATGATGTTGAAAGGCAAAATCATTTTGTTTTCCTTTTAATTCTCCTCAGATAAACCTTTAATGGCCAACCTAATCCTGGTTCTCTAAAATAATTGATTACCCTTATATGCTTTCCTTTTAATTTTAAATAATGTGTCAGTTTAAAATAACAAAATGTTACATTGATGATCATTTTTTAATTGATATGCCCAATTTTTTTATGTTTACTTCCGTGTGCCTAATTCCTTGGAATTATATCAATGTCTAAAACATAGGCCAATTGCCTTGTTACGTGAAGGTAATCTGTGGTTAAGGAAAAGGAAACTTATTATCCTGCTGTTAAATTTTGTTTAGAAAATACATTATGAGTGGTTCAAGTGATGTCAAGAGAAGCAAAATTTATCATTCTTGTTTCTAGAGTTGATTTATGAAAAAAAAAAGGTGGAGCGTGATAGAGAGACTGAAACAAAAGAGCGATAAAAAATCAATATGCAGCTGAAAGGGGCTCCGTCTCATGGTTTCTAAGGCCACGAATTAGAAAGAATGGCTTGTTCTTCTCTATCATTGTTATCCCTACCTAATAAAAATCAATCCTAGCCCTTAAAATAAATAATGATTACAATGCACTGACCAGCTTGCAAAGCATGGAGTCAATCAAGAGGAAAATGTTGCTGTTTTTCAGCTGCCCCTGATTGCATTTTGTTAAATGTTTTAGCTGAGGATCGGTATTTCTTTTCCTAAGGGCTGATGACCCAGAGGATATTCCCCTACTGTTTTTGCTTTGAATGAATTTTTCTTTTCTGACCAAAAAAGAAAGAAATCTAACATAAACATCCTTACAAATAAAATCTGCTACAGTATATTGAACCATGTTGCATTGGTTCTTTGCTACTAAAAGTTCTTTTATAGGTTTTTATGAACCATATGAGGGAATTGGGGGCTATTGAACTGTTTGTTTGGCAATGTAAGTTGTAATAGAGGTGAAGAGTAAGAGAGAAATGAAGAGAAATGAGTTTGATGTAAGTTAAAGTTCTTTCCAACTTTTTGGAGTTAAAAGAAGTGATGCGGTGATTCTATGATGATAGAAGTTTCTATCCACTCGATGTTCATAACCTTGATGCTCATAATTATAGAGCTGTAAAAATTAGAATGATATTCTCGTTTCTTTATTTCCAGTTTTATAGAGCTCACCTCCCTATGTTATCCAAACAAAAGGATTTGTTGAATATTTTTTATTTCAGTTTCCTCAACAAAAAACACTGTTAACACTAGTGCTTTTATTGAGAAGTGGAGCTTGAGTTCTTAGCATTTTGTATCTGAGTAAGATCAGGGAACTTTCATATTCAGAAAATATTTGTACTGAACGTGTAGGAGTACTTTATGGGGTGAACTTAACCTGTTTGTTTTATCAAGTGTTTTCCAGTTATTCAAAGTTGCTGGTTTATTGTGTGCATGAATGTAAAATAGTAGCTAGAGGAGATGGTACAATAAGCTGCATCAAGCAACTGATTGTTTTCTTATATATTTTAATAATTATTATGTCTTGTATAGAAGTGGTTATTCTTTGTCGGCACGTTAAATGTATCTTGGTGTTTCAAGTGGAAATTAGATGCCCATAGAAATTGTGACAACGAAAAGGTTAATTTCATTCCTCCGTCTTTACAGGATGAGTGTGGTGGAGAAAGCAGACTGGAAAAACGTAATAGATCTGGTTACAAATGCAAAACAGGTTGTATCCTCTGTACAAGATGTAGCTCGGAAACTTGCTGATTATGCAAATTTCAAAAGCAAGAAAGAATTTTCTGGTAAGTGTAGCACCCATAATCTAGTTGTAGCACCCAACTATAAATTGCATGTCTTGTTACTTTGAAATCTTCCTTATTTGATAACTGCTGTCAATATGGTAGGTTTTCTAACCTGCTATATAATGCCCTTAATATTGTTATCATAGTTCACTGCATTCTCTTGCCCATATTTCTTTTCATACTTAATGGCTCTCTAGGAAGTTGTGTAGTCACCTTGGAGAAGGCATGTATAAAAAACCAAGCTTTAATTTGCAAACTTTGTGTCTTTCTTTAACATATGCTATTTTGATCTATTTGAGCAGACAGTCCCATCGAAAAGGAATCAACTTTGGTCCCTTTGGCCTCTAAATCGAAAAGGACAAATGTTGCTGAACTTCAAAAAGATGAAGGTGCCCGTGCAGTGCCAGAGGAGTTATTTGTTCCAGGGACTGTTTACTATCTGAAGAGGAATATAGATAATCGTGCTGAAAGCAGCAATAACAGGGGCGGGGAATATTTCAGTCTTTGGAGGAGACATCCAGGTGAACATTTCCAGAGGATAGTGCTCTCAAGCAACTTACTCTCAGACCACAGATGTGATAGCCACTATTACGCTTTACGAGATGTACTGAAAGGTTTGCCTATGTCCCATGATGGAGGCATTTAGATAGGATCATGCTAAACGTTTTAACTTTTTTAACGATCTGTAAATTGTCAATAATCGTATGTTCATATTTAGGCAGTTCCATGCATTTTTGCAGAGAAAGGTATAGTGCAGGGGCAATTATACCGTTTGTAATGTGTTCATTATCCAATTGATCTTTAGTATTGGTAAAACGTATCTCCGAGGTAAAATCTGAAAAACGAATTCTCTTTTTCTGTTTTCTATGAAAATTATTCGAGTCGTATGCCCTTATGGAAGGGCGTGCTGCCAAGCGCTTAAATTTCCTCAAATGCGACACCCTTGCTAGTCGCCGTACTGTTGGGCGAAGGGATGGCTACTGCAGGTTAAATTTTCCATCGTTTGCAATAGCCTGCACCTCTCTTTGCTTAAGCGGATGCTGGTTCTTGGAGAAATGCTTTTATAGGAAGTTGTAATGTGTGCTTGAAAGCGGGTTTGAGACCTGGCCAATATTGTTATTGGGGGCTACCTCCAAGGTTACAACCCTAGTGTATCCCCTGCTTTATCAAAAAGCCCTGCCCTTCCTGCGCTGCAGTGAAGTTGAGAAATTCTTCCAGAAATATTCTAGTGGTTGCGCTTGCCTAGCCTGAAACGAATTTAAGTGTTAGCATGGAGATTTCTTTTATAAAGGAATGTAAGCTATCCAATATATGATATTATATTTCATAAATAATGATCACAAGCTTCCCCACCATTACCTACCTGAAAAAAGGTATGGCTGAGCAGAAATTGGCGGTAGTCAATTGCACCTTGGGCTATATCCTAGGGTGGTGTAGCATCCAAGGTAAAGTGGAAAACCACACCTGGTACGCATAAATATCCATATAAAGAAAGCTTGGGTGCAGTAAACAATTTTTGCTTAAAGGACACATTTTCCTCAATGTACCTAACAATAATTTAACAAAAAATAAATAAAGACCTCGATAAAAATTTAAATAGTATTGACTACACTTTTGGAAGCGTCCTATTTGTTCCTTATTCTGAGAAAAGAGACGTTCAACTCCAAACTGGCCCTTCCGCGTTTGTTGCTTGTCTTCATCTTCAAAGAATGACATTTTTCTTCTTACTTGAGTTGGGTCACTTGTTTGCACCCCAACAAAATTTCTGTGCTTTTCTCTGATATTTTCTAGAGCAAATGCTGGATCAACTTTTCCATACAAAGAGTGAGGATTTGTTATGTGGAAGGAAACGTTAGGGAATCAGAATTGTACATTTTTATATCCATATTTGATATTTTATCATGTTCATTAAGCAACAGGTTTGTCAAGGACTGCACTTTTGGACACATTGCCAGCCCATTTCAGAATCATCCCGAAAGTATGTATTATTAACAAAGCATTGGGATAAACATATATATATATATATTCTGGTCGGAAGAAAGTTGTGTGTACTTCAAAGTCCAAGATCCAAAGAAAAAATGCTGGAAAATTCATATAAGAAGCAGTGAAGATAAGAGTTGTGGTGGGGCTTTCCATTCTTCATTGGTCAATATACCCAGAAATAATTTCTCAGCTTTGAAGCAAAACCATAACTTGTCTAAATTTTAAAAATGAAACTAGAAACCAACTATTATACACATTCAGACAAAGCTGTAGGACCAGATTTATCCCATTATGACAGGTTACTTTTTTCGGTCAAATAAGTTATTAACTTGTGTCTTAGACTAAATCTCATTGCCTTCTCCAGGTTGTCTCCACCTGTGAATAACTTTCTTAGCTATAAAGTTTAATCAGTCCATGGTCGAGGCAAAATAGAATCGTCTCCATTAGTTTCCTTGAATAGACATTAGACAATAACAAAACCATCTCTTTCACTTTCTAATTTCTTTCTTTCTTTTTTTCTTCCTTGTGGCTAACCCCTCTTGCAATGACGATTCATGGCCCTAACTGTTAAGCTACCTAGAGACTATTGGCCCCTATTTTATGGTTTGGACTTTGAAATCTTGCTCCCTATTCAAAGTACATCCAAAACTTTTATAAAACTTGAATGACTGAATCCAGGCCTCCCAATTACACTTTAAAAAGGGAGGAAAAAAACCAAAACACAACAAGACTTTTATATATATAATTGTGAAAATGAAGCTTTCTGCTTGTGTTTCTTAATCATCATGCAACGACATTTTCGTCTCTACTCAAAATGTTTGGGATCGAAATTGATGTTTGAACGTCTAGAGTAAGTCATAACTCACATGCAAGTTAACATCTTAATACCCTTATTAAATCCAGGCTTTGATAGAGACTTAATCCATGGTGTAGGAATTTAGATCAAATTAATTATATTTAAGCATGGTTTTTTGTCCGATTCTTGCTATTTTAATAAGAGATGATATATGCATATAGAGAGGCCACATTAAGACATTATAGGATGCAGCTAAAACTTTTTGTATAGGGACTGTTTCCTTTTGTCTGAGGATGCTACCAGATACGTTTGAGCAGCTTGGTTTGGGTTGTAATTATACAGTTCCGACTCCTGCAAAGCTAGTTTCTATGTCAAGGAGTCTTTTACTTCATTAAGTTTAAGACTTAACATGGCATTCTAGCTTTTTCCATCAATAAAACACCAACTTAAAAAAGAAAAAAAGACATTATAAATGTGTTAGATACTCTAGGGAATTCTGTGATTAAATTATGGAAGATAAGGCTTCTATTAATTGTGAGACCAATATGTAGAAATTAATAACTAATTGGAATAAAGAAACCCTAGTTTTCTTGTAATGCATCCATTAACACGTAGAATGGCCCCATATGCAACGTGGGTGTCGGGTTGACTGGTCTTTACAGGGATGCAAATGTTAGCATCATTCTCCAACATGGTCTTTGTCCATCAACTAAAACTTGCCTTTCCTCCACCTAGGTTTTGTATAGAGAGCTATATATAACTTAAGCTTGTGGTTTTTCTAATATTTTTTTATTTTGTTCATAACTTGTATTGGTCATTTGAAAAATGTTGGTATTCGGACCACTTGTCATTCGGGGAAGACAAGAAGGGATGGATCACTGAATTTTGATTTGAAAGTATAGAGAGAAAATTCAAGGAGCAAAGCGCCGCTCCAAAATCCTGGAAAATTTTCCCAAAACAGTTGAGACATAATAATGCATGGATGTTGCTAATTGTTGGAAGAACATTGCAACATTTCAATGTAGCTTAGCCTTTGTATTGTTTGATGAGGCAAAAATAGTTCTAGTCTCGAGTCTTGGCCTCCCACAGAAAATATTTAATGCACCCAAAAATAAACAAAACCCTAAATTACTAAGATGACATAGACCTTTGTTGTCTCCATTAAAAGGTCACAGGACGGAAAAAGCTCTGAATATAGCAAATAGCAGCCTAATACCTAGTGATTCATTCCTAAAGTTTGAAATGCTTGTTTTGAGTTTTAACTTGACTTGAGGCTGGTGAAAAGATGGATAAAGAGTTATCATCTTTTTTTGTAATATATATATATATATATATGTAAATTCATTTATGTAGGATGGAGTTCAAGCTTTTGTTAAATATAATAAATTATTGGGATATATTGTTTGCAAGGTTAGAAAATTTTTGTCAAATAATGAGCACTTATTATTGTCTACTGTTTAATCTTTTTTTTTTTTTAGTTTAAGCTCACACTACAAATATAACGAAAGAAACATCCTTATTGACACTATTAGTACACAGCTTTTTATTTATTTTTTAAAATTTTTATTATTTAGATGAATTAACATTATAAAAATATCAACAGGTGTAGCACTTGTTATTTTTTAAGTGTTTTAATTCAAATCTGATCATAAAGTATATTAGTCTTATTTAATCGAGTCATACAATATATAGTTGTAGATTACAAAATAGTCATTAACATCTATAATTAATAATGATTACACAATCATTTTAATTATAAACTTTTCACCGCCTTTGCTTCTTCTTATTCTAATCACTAAGAAATAGCTCTAAGTCACTTCAAATCAGAATATGGAACATTAATTTTACTATACATCATCACATCACCCAAGATTAAAATAAAATAAAATAAAATTCGTACTTAATAATAAAAAATAATAATAGTAAAAACCAAGATTACTTTAATTAGTTTAAACAGAGTTTTTGCCTCTTTCCTAGTTGTTCTTGTAACATTTTGGTTCAATTTGCCAACAAATTCTCTGTTTTTCTTCTTTTTTTTTTTTTTTGGTTTCTTAAAATAAATTTGCTTTATGGGAATGACCCTTATTTATCGTTAGCGAGTGGTGGTGACGTGAAGAGTGGGGCCCGCACGTGTAAAAAACAGTGCCCTCACTTCCACTCGTGTGGCGTGTCAACGTCAGAATCAACTGATCAAAGTGTGTGTGCTTTTCTTTTGGTTAAATGTGCACGTGCACCGCAATCCCGAGGAGTTAGTAAATTGTAACGGCTTTGCCTGCTCTTTTCTCTCACTCTTTTTTGGCTTTTATATTTTTGTTTGCTTTTTATCAATTACTTTTTCAATTGTTTATGCCTTCTACCCCCCCCCCCCCCCTTTTTTTATTGTTCCGTAATTCTGTAAATAAATTTGTTTTCTTTGTTTTGATTTCTGTATGGGATTTGACTCTGCTAGCCACCTGTACCTAGCACTTTATTTTTTTATGCGAATACTTTAATAGACCAATTATGAAAGGGAAAAATAAAGGAAAATATGCATGCTTATGTCACTTTAATTAATTTAATATGATGATTTTAGATGATGGGTTTAGATAAAGCAATTTGGATTTAAACAAAATAGCATTTTGCGGAACTAGGTGGCTACTCCAATTTTCATGCTTCATAAAAAAAAAAGGAAAAAAGATCAATATAGAACCATCTTTTGTAATCATACAGTGTGCTTCTCTCAATATGACTAAATTTTTTATTTAAGTAGAAATTCAAAGGTTAAAAGAAGGAAAGAGCATGAAAGTATAGTTATTAAACCCGAAAAAACAACTTGATGATTAGAAGGATTGATTCGATTTTCGTTATAAATCATTTTTTCCATCAAATCGGTTGTAATTGTGATTTAATTAGAATAAATTCATTCTGGCTCATTAAATTTATGAAAAAAAAAAATCAATGACTGATTGAGTATTTATTGATACAAATTAATTAAAAATGAGATTTTATAAATTATTTTAAAATCATACCTAACTTAAGTTTTATTTAATAATTATTA